CAAATTTCTTGGCCTTTCAACGACATCATTCGTTTGATTATATTATTGCGAAGATGAACTATTTTGAATCAAGAAAATATAATATCATCTCAAATTCTACCACCTATTTGAAGGGAAAAATAAACTGTTTCAAATGGAGGACAATATCAACTTGATCTGAACACATAGTGTTTGTTTGAATTTAATAGTGTATCCCTACAAATACCTCAATTCTTTATAACAAGAGTTTTGTGAATCTACATACAAAACTATATTATGATCGACTGAAAATAACAAGAATTTCGTATAGAAGAAGTATTTCATTCATTTCAGTTTGAAAAAACTGTGGTGCTCTGGTTTTTCTATGACCCTCTCAAGTGAGAGGGGAGCGGGGAATTCCGTTGTAAACATCGCGTACGCGCCTGACGGCAACCCTTAATTTTGCCCTTATTTTGCGAAAACTATACCAATGCTCCGTAATTTTTCACACATGAATTATTACATTCGCCGAGCTCTGCAAGCAAAGTATATTAATTGAAACTGAAAAATACTCCACGTTGATTCAAATTTGCCAATCTCTTGTTTTGAACATACATTTTATCTTGTTCCAAATAAGAGCATTTTCTCTAAATGAAATTCGATTTTCTCTTAGACCTAATTCATTTTCAATGAAAGATCGAGGTACTTATAGTTTCGACAATAAATTATAATACAAAAAGTACCAAAATAGGCACCAGTAGGTATAAAAAGCTTCTATATGTGACAGCCACTTTCTGATTTCAACATGTAAATATTTGTAGAATTCCGAAACGTCTTTGCTTTCTGTAATCACTTCAGAAATGTTTTTATGTTATTCATTGGGAACAAATTGAATATACTCTACTCAGCTTGAAATTATCTGATAGATTTCCTTCAGGAATGTAAGAAATAGGTAGAAATATTACCAAACCCAATAGAAATGAAATATGAATTTCCAAAAACGTGAAAACAGTGAATGCTCTTATGTAAATAGAGAATCATATTCCTTTGAGTATGTTTGTATGATCATGAGTTGAATTTTTTTTAATGACCCATTTTATATTTTCCCTTGATCCTTTGCTAATACTTACACGACACTTTGAATTCCTATAACGGTTCCAAAATGATTATTTTAAAAAGCAATTTTTCTGTATGAACTTCTGTCCACTTCAAAAGGAATTGAGGTACGTCTTTTGAATTTATTATTTATTTCTGATCAAATAATGCTTAAGCACCTTTTAACTTGCTAGGAATCGTATGTTAAATAATAAGACCTCAGCTACATACCAATAAGGCGATTAAATGAACTGAATCTACCAATTCCAAAAACATGGTTCAAAACTCGTTGATATATAATGGAACCAGAGTATACAATAAACTTCCCAATGACATCAAAGAGACCCCTTTCATCATATTCAGAAAAAAATGCACAAAACTATTGAGTGATAAAGCCTATTACGACCTACAAGAATATTTTGACGATGTGGAAATTGCGATTGTACTATGTGTGAAAAACATTTTTATTCGTTTTCCTTCTTGTCATGCGTATGTATGTAAGTATAGTTTATATTAATATTTATTTATGACATTTTGTATGTAACAAGAATTTTATTCTCAAACGACAAATATTTATAATATTATATGCTCTTGAGAACCTGATCTACATTGAAAACTTAGATATATGAAGCGACCGACTGTGCTATGAACAATTCTCATCATAAAATCATATCAGGCCACCAAGTCCAAAATCAACAGTTTGTTTTGCCTGTGAAATTTCGAAAACTAGAGACCTTTCACAAAGAATAATCATTAATATGATTAGCTGCCGAGTCCATTTTGTCGTCCTATATAATAGTTTCCACAATCCTAGGTAACTGTTCACACGGTGGTCAATTAACCATTTATTGTTCTCCATCATTGTATGTCGAAAGTTCCAGTCCCCAAGTTTCAAAATAACGATAATCATTTGTTGTGACAGTTTCATAATAGTCGTCAGAATAGTGCAAGTCAATGTTGAACGGAAAAACATTGTTTGCATTTGGTGTATGATAGCTGACTGCTGAGAACCAGTCGCTCATAGACGGTCCCTAATTAACTATTATCTTTCATATCGTCTGACAAGAATGCAGAATAAAATAAAAATACTTGTTCAAATCGATATGTGAAGTCAGTGTTTACCTATAAACTTCTTATTTTTATAGGTGTTGCATGAATATAATCAGAATGTTAGAATATATGGTAGAACATTATTTTCCCATGAAGATAAGTTGGGCTTTTAGACAATAGAAATGTGTGAAACAGACACACGGCATGGAACTTGAATCTTTCACTGAAAACCATTTCAACTCATTCAGTTTGTGAGAGACATCATCACATTTTCTTATGCCATATATGAATCGAATATAGGAGTTCTACACGCGTTGTACTCCAGTAGCAGTATCTTGATCAATACAAAAACTGTAGATAGAGGAACAATAGTTGAATCGTGACAAAACCAAAGTTCAACATCAAAATTCTTTTGTATCTATGAGTAAATAACATCTGTGAGGATTTTGTGGCCTCAGAGCTCCGTATGCTCATCATTGGGAATTCTCCTGAAATCTCAAAGAGCCATGTGAGATCAAGCCTAGATTTTTTGCATTATCATAAATCCTAACATCTTCATTGTTAATAATTATCTAGAGGTTACTTTTTGCGATTGTCTGATTGGATTTGTTACCAAATACCAAGGCTAGAGGTTACTTTTTGCGATTGTCTGATTGGATTTGTTACCAAATACCAAGGCTATAGATTTTTTCGCATTTAACAATAGGGAATGCCGACTAGCAAGTTTAGCAATGTCGTTCAGGTCATTATTCACAGCCACTGCGGCGTCATTCAGACTGTCTATGGATGGGAAACTTGTGGAAAAGTTGAAAAACGTCAGCATACAGGTGTATTCTACAATGACTAACACACTTTCCAAACTGGCTTGTGTATATTGAGAATAGAAGTGGCCCTAAGACAGAACCCTGTGGTACACTAGATTACACATTTATAGCAACAAATATTTTATCTGCCAGTATCTCCCAGCATGATCCCCAATAACTTATTACCCTGAATTGACCAAGAAAGTTTTAAAAATCATAAGTCTCAAATAATGACCCGTACCAATTTGGATCTTTTACTTTCCAGCTAGTTTTCAGTCGTAACAAATAAAGCCCAACGAGACGAGACAACTTGCGACTTACGACTGGTGTCAAATTCGCCTTAATGCGTACTTTATCGAAATGACAAATTATATTTTTCTGTCATTAGTCATAGTGTTGTCACTCAAAATTCTTCGTGAAATCATTCACTGAAAACATTCATCCACGAACTCAAAGAAATGACTGAAAATAATACTTCTGAGGAAGATAAAAGTAAGTGAGTGTTTATATATTCAACTTTGCCTGGTACACATAATTGAAATAACTGCATAATTCAAATAAGCTAATATGAGGAGTAATGTGTTCTTTCCGATGTTAGAAAGTGTAGACAGATTGACAATGAAGAAAGAGTGTAAAAGGTTTCTTGTGTGCTGTTTGTAAATTTCAAACAACTTTTATTTATGCAGTTTGTGGTTAGTAGTTGAAAGTTCTCATCAGCAAGCATCAATAAAAACCCGGTAGCTATTTATCAAACATGGACTTGATGAAAACCCAAATGGAAACGTTAATAGTTCACAATGAATACAAAAAGTTTTCAAAGCTTTCTCCTCTGGGGACTCCATGCTTCCGAAGGTCCGATCTTCTCCATTCGGGATTTAAGTTTTTCTTGGTCTTGGTTTCTTTAGTCTTTCTTTCTCCAGTCCTTGTCACATGAATTGATGAAGTAGAAGTACAGTCGCCTAGGACCCTATACAGATTGATATATCTGTTTACAACCACTCTTGGATCTGGAGGTGTGATCTAATAGCTTTCTGCTCTCGAAAGTCCAATCTTCTCTATTCGGGATTGAGACTGTATTAGGCAGCCAACTCCAGCTCAGGCAGGTCGGATCCTAGCTCCCTTACCCTTGCGGCTAATTTTTGTAAGAGGGACAAATGGATCATGACAGAGGTGGTGGCGGCATGAAAGTCATCAGATATCAGTACCGTCCTCTATGGTGTACCTCTAGCTGGCTGGGGTGAGGTGGATGAAAAAATTGTTCTAGATTTTCTTTTTTGTCATGGACAATCTCCTGTGATGACATAAAAGAGATAGCTTTCATATAGATATACATTTTCACTATTTTCGAATGAACCGTTTTCTGAATTATCTTTTCCAAACTAGATATCCAATGAAATTGCGCCATAAAGGATCAATCACAAATGAACTGTGCATCATATGTAACTGAATTTGGATGGGCTTATTTGAATTTACAAGAAAAATGACAAACTATCGAAATTATTTTATGTAACTGAAATTATCCTTAAATATGAGCTCAAAATTTTATTTTGGTAAAAAATTTAATCTTTTTTCGGTGTTTTGAGAAATAATTTCCCTTTTGAACTTCGTTTGTAAAAATAAAACTATTAGTTTTTGATAAGGTATATTTGAAATCAATGAAAGTAGTAATCAATACCAAAGTTTAACTTCAAGTGAAGCTAATACTGAAAAAGATAATGGATTTACTTTGTTATTTCAAGTTTGCACCATTTGGGAAACTTATTTATTAATGATTTTTCCACAAAAAGTTATTCGTGATAAAAGTTCGTGCATCCCCTAAAACTAAACATACACCAACGAAATACAGTAAAACACACATAATATACGAGGAGCCTTGAAATATTTGATTTTGAGACAGGAGTAAAGTACTCTTATTTTGAAAAATCTTGTGAAATGTTATTTAAAAAAGTTGTTTAGCATAAAAAAATACATCCAGATTTGGAGAGATGGTTATCTGAGTGAAGTTTTATTTTTTCACCCATTTTTTCAATGAGATTTTTTCAATTGGTAAAAAACGAAACTCCACTTGTATGGCCCAGACTTCAAATCTAGATGTATTTTTTGATGCTGAACAACTTTTCCAAATAACATTTCTCGAGAGTTTTCAAAATAAGAGTACTTTACTTTGTCTCAAAATCAAATATTTGAATGCTCCTTGTATATTACGCGTGTTTTACTGTATTTTGTTGGTGCATGTTCAGGTTTAGGGGATGCACAAACTTCCATCAAGAATAACTTTTTGTCGAAAACCCTTAATAAAGAAGTTTCCTATATGGTGCGTACTTTTTGGTGAATTGAATAGATTCCCGAAAACCGGGAAATATTGAACAAATATGTCCTGATTTTTTTTTCATTTTTAGGCACGAGAAAAAAGTTATACGGCTACATGCCCGACAATCCATCCTTTGTAGTTTCTCAGTTCCTCCGACCCACACAAACAGTGCATCCGGCAGTTGAAAAATGGTTCAGAGCAATGGACACCAAGAACGAGGGAAAAATATCGTCCAAGGAGCTTCAACAGGCGTTCGAAACTTTTCAAGGAAGACACTTCTCAGACTCTGCCTGTAAATTCGTGGTGAGACTCTTTGACCTTGACCGAAATGGTGGATTGGACATCAAAGAGTTCGAAACGTTGTACTACCATATAAAACTGTGGGTCAACGCGTTCAATTCTTATGACAGGGATAAGTCTGGGTTTTTAGACGAAACCGAGCTTGATTATGCTTTGAAGAATATGGATATCCATTTCAGTCCGGAGTTCATCAAGTTTCTGATAACAAGAAGTAACCCGAAAGCAAAAAAGATGTCGCTGGATCAGTATATAGTTACCTGCATCCAGATACAGAAGTTTACGGATGAGTTCAAGAGTCGAGATTTGAACTACTCCGGGCATATTAATATCAAGTATGAGGATTTTCTTGAGATGATACTGAGATGTTTATGATGGAGTTCGTCAAAGCCAGAAGCCTTCATCCTTATAAGGCACAAATCATTTATCTGTTTACTGAACCTGAAACGGCAATTTTAAAATACTTGATTATTATAAACGAATATAATGAAATATAGAATCATAGCATTTCATTAAGTTTTCGGGTTCATCAAAATATACTCGAAATTCGAAGCTGTTTTGACAAAACACTAATTTGAGTTGCGTAATTCTGTCAATATTTGTGAAACTGACTCTGCAACTGACCGCGTTGGGAACCCCGCTTATGTTTCGATCCCATAGATGGCGCATTCGTATGGAAAATAGGTATATGTATGTGTATAAATACACATACCTATTCTCACATAGAATTTTGAACATTATCTGCTTGTTAACTCTTGAGTTAACATTCTTGATATCGGTTTGCTACAGTTAGTAAACAATTTTTTCAGAATGGTGTACAGACTGGTTGTGTTAGGTTAGGTTAGGATGATTGCGGATCATCATCATTCGCCAACCTGAAAAACAAAAGTAAGAAACCATTCCAGGAATACTTCTCATGCCGGGTCCAGACCAAGCAGACAAAACAACGACAAGACAAGAACATTTCTGCAACATTTTTGTCTTATTTGGGTTTTGTTTCCAAATTCTGAGACTGTTGCAAGTCCCGTCGCCAGTCGGTAAAGATCAAAGGGTCTCTGTTTTGTCTGCATATTTTACGACAAGTTGTCGGCTCAGTGTGGACGATGCGCGCTGACAAAAGATATGGTCTGCTTTGATACTTTTGAAAGATACATGACGCTGTGGTAGGAATCGCCTGTTGATAGAGATCTTTAAGTTATTGCTACATACTTGCTTCTTTCTGTTACACTTATAGCATTTCTGTAGTTAGTATGTCTTTTGGCAACCGCAGGACCAAGGAGGCATATCAGACTCTCGAAATCCTCGGTGGACATTCTTAGAAAATCCTTGAAGTTTGAACGAATCTTACCACTTGTTCCAATATCATCCTCACGTAACTGAACTAACAATTCATTAATGGAATAACTTCCTCGTTTTTTTAAGCTTCGTCTCATCCAAAAACATTTGCGTTTCATTTTTCCAACTTTGGATGAAGAGGAAAGAAGGATATAACAACTGGCGGCTGGCAATAAATCTTCATTTTTTGAATTTCCCTCCTGGTGGAAACGCCACATGGTTAAACAACAACGAATTCCCATCAACTAAATTTGGTTGCACATTTGTCGTTGTGGTGTGGACAGTTTGTCTCAATTTTGTCTTGTCTGAATACCTAATGTTTTGTTGAAATTTTGCCCTGTTTTTGTCTCAAAATCGTGTTTACTTTTTGTCTGCTTGGTCTGGACCCGGCATCACAAATGAACGCTAACGACCACATCGCTATCTGACGAATTAATTCCCAATCAGTACATAGCAAGTGATTAGTTGTTTACACTCCTAGGAACAAAAAACATCGTTCTTATATGGCAGGCAGTGGTCGTTGAATTGAGAATACGAAAATTAAATAGAATGACGGCCGTTGTACGGGGAAGCTAAGAAGGGTTTTGATGGGTTATGATACGACTGCAGAGGTGTCATTATAAAACTGCTGGTCATGTCAGCAAATGGTTTCAACCTGCTACTTAGTCAGTAGCCAGTCAGTCGGACTCGAACTATTGTTCGGCTATTATGGTCCTTCTCATGAAAAAACATTCCTGTCTCTGTTCAATTTATATAAATTCATTTATCATAAAAATAGTAAGGGCGCTGATGGTTCATTTCAATTGAAGAAGTGATAAACGGATTCGAGAGTGAAAATTGACGTATTTGATCGATTTTGTTTTCAAGGGATTTTTGGAAATTCGGAGCTTATACATATTCAGTGTCACTATTTCCATCCGGGTTTGAACCCACAATGTTAATGAGGTTTGTTGATTTGTTACATAAAACCTGCAGTCTACGATAGCAAAGCTATCGTAGACTGCACGGTATCACGTTCGTGATACCCCTCCCCATGCTATAATTCCATAGTTAAGGTGAGTTTCAACGAGACTTTTGTAAACAATTTGTTTTTGTTTGTAATTAAGGTAGGTGATGAGTTATTTGAATCTGTATAATATACATCTTAGTTTTTTTGTTAGATATATAATATGCTCCTTCCATTTCAGGTAGGGATCTGAAAATATACCTAAGTATTTTATTTTGTTCACAGGTTTTAACATCAGATTATCTTGGATCATCAAGTTATAGTTGGGAAAAGAAGTTTCTTGGCTACTAAAAGGCAGGTAATGGGTTTTATTGAAGTTAATTGATAAAAGCCTACTATCCAACCAATCTTTCAAGTTGTTCAAGTCGTTTTCTGCTTTTACTTTCAGGTCATACCAGTTTTCAGCTTTGTAAATTATCACGGTGTCGTCTGCAAAGCTTATTATTTGACCATCTTTTTCTTGCATGAAGAGGTTATTCATATAAATTGTAAATAGCACGGGTCCCAGAACTGTCCCCTGAGGTACTCCACATGTTATTATTTCTTCGGTACTAGATATATCATTGAGTTTTACTTTTTGTTTTCTATTCGTCAGATAGCTTCTGAAAAGATTGAATGTTGTACCTCTGATGCCAATTTCATGAAGAGTATTCAAGAGGATGTTGTGGTCGACGGTATCGAAAGCTTTGGACAAGTCGAGAAAGACACCTAATGATGGGATCCTTTATCCAAGCATTCATATATCGTACTTGTCAAGACATGTATTGCATCTTGAGTCGATTTTTGATCACGAAAACCATACTGTGCATCAAATAAAATATCGTATTTTTTTTTTCATCAGTTTCTTTGGAAATGTCATCTATAGAACGGATAATAGAGGTGGTGCCATGTTGATAACGAAAAACTCACTAAACACGTTGAGTAAAATCAACTTTTATGGCATCATTCATTGATCAAGTGTATGAAAAACCCATCGTTGCCTAAAATTCAGGAACTTTTTGGGCAACCATCTAGAAAAGTCTAAAAGAACCGACAAGGAAATATCAGGAACAAACAGGAACATATTCAGGAAAATGTGTGTTCAATGAATTATTTATTATTAAACATAGTTTTTGAATTATAACTTATTCTCATTCACCATGACCCAAATGAATGAATACCTTAAGGACATACGCATCCGAAAGCAAGTGTGGATGACTTTCCCATTGAGATAATGAAAACATTCATAGGATAAGTCTGAAAATCATTTGCTACTGTAGGTATACAAGAATATGATTTTCAAAAAGTTTGGGAACACGACTCTAACTAATTTATTCGTTTGGTGTTCGTTTGATTCTTCCATGAACTCTGTGAAGGTCATAGAATGATCTTGGACCCCACATCCATTCCAATTGTAATCAATGATGGTCATCGTTAATCACCAATCATTACACTATGCCCCAGTACTATTTTCTACTTGGTAACTGTAGAAGATATAATATTTTTTCAACGCATCGAAGACAGCTTCAATAACAAAACCTTAATCCTGATGAGATATTTATATCTCTTATATTTGTTGGAAAGAATTCAGTGGTATCCGGTAGCGATTTAATGGTAGACGTAGCGGAGGATTTAAGCTCATTACAATGTGCATTCACACACGGTGATGAAAGGAGCTTCATCAAAACACTAACAATCTTTGATGATTCTAATGCTGGTTGAATGGTACGTAGTTATTACTTGCAATTATTGGATTTTTTTCTCTCACCAAGTGTTGAAGTTGACATACTAAATGGTTTCCAAATTGTTATTTACAAACTTGGTCACTTGGAGTTGATCGATTTGACTGCCTTATAGACAGTTCTACAAAATTGAGAAAACTATTGATATATACTTCATTTGAGGTTTTATTGAAAACATTTATAGCAAGTCACATGAAAATTTACAGGGTTGAATACTGTTGATAATAACACAAACATAATAAGAGTATCATAAAATTGGTACATATAAAAATTATCTAAAACTATACATGATGAGGAACTAGAAGTTTGAGAAAATTCACCTATATGAGTATAAATTGATGGATGTAGCTCTTACTACGTGGTAGAAAATCCTCATGAAAATTGAGAAATATCCCATATGGGTCCACTGCTGTTCAACTTGTTTGTATCGGAGATAGAGTTTGTTTTCAAATATTCAAAAATCCTTATGTTTGCGGATTATCTCAAACTTTATCGAGCAATTACTTGCCGGAAAGATGCTCAATTAGTTCAAAAAGATCTCGAAACCTTTTCCATGTGGTGTAGAAATGATTGGTTAGAGGTAAACATCGATAAGTGTCAAATCATTACGTTCGCTAAAATTAGCAGTCCAAGATTCTTTGAATATACATTGAATAATATAACTCTTGAAAGAGAAACATTTATTCGCGATCTGGGAGTTGAATTTGATAGCGAAATTAATTTTATTCTTCGAGTGTCAGAAATTGTGGCAAAAAGTCTCAAAGTGCTGGGTTTTGTGTTGGGAATTTCTACTGATTCCTCAATGAGAACAAAGAAGATTTTATATTATTTTCGTAAGACTTAGATCTGTTCAATGTATCATTTCAGGTTTTTTAAAATCAATTGAAAAGGCTATAGCGTTTTCAAAGCTTTTCTTTACCTTACCATTTTCTTTGTAAGTAGGTACCAGATTTGTTAAATCTTTTTCCTTGTAAGTACCAGAATTGTTTCGTCTTTTATTAACATAGTCACTGACATAAGGATTTATGGATAATTTGTATTTCATAATTTGCTAAATGGAGCATTCAAAAATTCTTTGTACTTAGTTCTCACCTTTTGTTAAATATGTTTTTGTAAATTGGCTTTGTCGTTGCATAAATAAATTAATAAAACTTCGTATGTTTTATACCACTTGTATTTGTAGCTATCGTTACTGAAGTTTCGTCCTATGAGGACATTTTGAAACAAATAGAATAAACTGCAGTTCATTGTATTCGTTTGAAAATGAAATAAGACGGAACTGCAGTTACGTTTGTTACAAATACTTTGTTTGACTTATTGTTTTTATGTGTGATTTGTTAGTATGGAAAAGAAGCGAAAAATCGACAGTGAATGCAAAACGTTCCAAGAAAATTGGAACTTTCAGTATTTTGTGATTGATTGAGTCCAGTAATAAGGCGCTATGTTTAAT